GGCCGTGATTCCTGGCCAATGGAAGCTGCAGAGCTGGCACTTGGGGCAGGGGCAGCGTGCGGAGCCCCCTAGCGGCCCCCGTTTCCAGGAGCCAGGCGGAGCTGCTGCATGTGCAGAGCAGAGCAAGGCAAGCCCCCGACGCTGCTCCCTGGCTGAAGCAACCCAGTGGGGAAAGCTCCCAACCCCGCTCCCTGGTGGGAGCTCGGGGGCCGGATTAAAACTTCTGCAGGCCGTAGTTTTCCCACCCCTGTCCCAATGATACCTGCCAGCCATGAGATCTATGGAATGATGAAAAAAAGCAATTTAAATAAAACTGGGCTCACTAAAAAATTAATTCTGCAAAAATGGACAAGTCGATTCCCCCCAGGTATTGATGCCTGGCTCAGCGATGTGGCTGACCTCGGCACTAACGAACAACTGGCGTTCTGCAGAAAGGCAATTCCTGAAAAATTCAAAGCAATTTTTAGAGGTCTCTGATTATCATAGGCCCTGAAGATAGATATGTTGCTTCCCTCCCCTCCCTTTGTCCTACCCCTCTTTATTTACTTTGTGCATGATGATGAATCTGGTATTTTGGTGTATTTGGAAAATTAATAAAAATTATAAATAAAAAATAAAAATAAAACTGTATTGGTCCTTCAAATATAAATCTTATTAAATATAGTGCATGGATTCACAGGGAGAAAAGGAGTTTCAGGATATAATTAAGGGCACAAGATAGATCGGAGCTTCCTTTCATATGCTGCCTTGAAGGGGCTGGATTTTGTATCTGGGCCGTTTGTTCCTACTCCGAAGGCAAGAGAGCGAGCAATGCAATTACTGGCCAGGTTTCAATGGGTGCTGAGCTCTTTTGAAAAATCTGCCCGGTATTCATGAGCAGTAATCCAGCATCATTGCCTGAAGGTAGATGCCTGAAAATACAGGCTTCACCCCTGTAACAGAAGCTCCGTGGGCAGCCTGGAGGTCTTCCAACGTGTGAGAAGACCCAATAATGACGGTTAAAGTGAGTATGTATGTGAGGAAGTATGATAACAGTCTTCCACTATGTAAAAGGCTGTCAGAAAGAGGATGGTGATCAATTGTTCCGCATGTCCACCAGGGGTAGGACATTCTAAAGGTAGTTACGCTCTGGAAGAGGCTTCCAAGGGAGGTTGGGGAATCCCCATCGCTGGAGGTTTTTAAGAACAGGTTGGACAAACACCTGTGAGGGCTGGTCTAGGTTTACTTGGGTCCTGCCTGAGCACCACGGGCTGAACTAGATGACTTCTCGAGGTTCTTTGCAACCCTGCATTTCCATGATCCTAAGATTCAAAGGGACAAATTCGCTGTGATGCAAATGAACCTTAAACCTGACCTAACGGGGTTCACCCGAGTAGTGCAAAGCAGCTGCAGCATCCTGGTGAATGGGACCCCGAAACCTTGCCTTGTGAGTGACGTGTGTGTGAAACACCACTGTATTCTACAGCCTCTTTGCACTCCTCTTGCACAGGGATAAGCAAGAACACAAGGTGACGAGCAGAGGGCAATCAGGTCTCTTATCTGATTATTCCTCACCCAGTGGACCCTTTTCATTTTTTGACAACTTTGCCTGTTGGGCTTGTTTGATTTATTTTTTTCCTTTGCCTTGTTATTTCTTAACCCCTGCCCATTCTCTTTCTGACCACCATTGGTTAGCAACCCTGGCTGAATTTTAATCATTTCCCTCATCTATTTTTAGACATTTTAATCTTTTCTTGCCTTCCTATTACGTTTGTAAGATCTGTTCTCATCATTCTATTTGCAATCTCTCATTTCCTGGTTTTAAAGCCTCTATTTAGTTAGGTTTTTTTGTTTTTTGTTTTAAATTTTGCAACACCGTTGATGCCTACAACTGCATGGAGCTTAAAAACAATAAAATTCTTTGTTTTCCCTCCTCTGCACCCCCAGCTGTGTTTTGTTTTCCTCTGTATTTTGTCAGTTTTATTTCATCGCTAATAGTAAATTTCATTTCTCAGATTAGCTGGCAGGAGAATCAGTTTCAGTTCTGTACTGAAGTTAAAGTTTTGTTTCTTGGACTCAGATGCACTGGGGAGTTTGTTTCACTTTCCAGTCTTCAGGGCGAGGCGGCTCTGTTACTGTGTGTCAGTGAAGCCTCTGACACAACGGGGCCTTGATCTGATTAGGGCATTTTTGCAACCCAAACAAATAATAGCCAAGGTTCACAGTTTTCTCACACATTTCGCTGGCAGCTCACACGCCCTGCCCGCGGTTGTTTGTGCACTGCGGCCAGGGCCCTGCTTGCAGGGCTAGTTCTCATTTGGACAGTGCCACCCTTCTGCAGAGTAATTTTGACGAATGATCACTGCATTCATTGCGGAGGGGAGCCTGTTTGTCTCTTAAAATCCTGAATGGGATTTTAGGTGGAATGGGAACTTAGCTCACACTCTCTTTGTTATGGATCAAGACAACTAAACTGATCAGACAGGGCATATGAGTTATCCCCAGAGTCTTGATTCACCCGGAGGGCAAACAGTGGCAGAGTGCAGGCCACTGTCAGGGAGAAGGGACGTCTCTGGTGTTGTGAGGGGTCTCTGGTGTTGTGTGCAGACATACCCGGAGAGAAGTTAGATTAAAAACCAGAAAACCACTTGCTGGACTGTTTCAGTGCACCACTACTTTATTTCTTAGAATCCAAAGCCCTGACACACAAGAACCAAAGACAAACAAATGAAGAGAGAGAGAGAGATGAGGCAGGCTGCTCCATAAAGTAGCGAGGCACTAATCTGTCCCTTTGCACTAATCTGTCCCTTTGCAAACTGGCTGTTAGATCCTATGGTTCCCTGCAGAGCACCCTAGCCTACAAGCATGAGCAGGAAACCTCTTACTCTTAAAGTGGTAGCTTCTCATTTTAACACGGTTTTCAATACATCACAACTGGAAGCTCGGGGAGGTGGGCTTGGGAAGGAATATGTGCGGGTGAGAGGGTCAGTCCTGAGAGCAGGGTGGGTGCTGGGAGCAGGTGCATGGTCTCTGGGGACGGAGTGATGGAAGGAAACAGGTGGGAGATCTCTGGGCATGGGCCGAGGGTGGAGGCAGGCAGTAGGAAGGAAGGCGGCTGGGAGGAGCGTGGCAGGAAGGAAGCCAGGGTGATGGGCAGAGGGGGAGGGGTGAGAACTGCGGCAGAGCACGGTGATGCGGGTGAAACGGTGGGGCCCAAGCCCTCTGTCGGCCCTTATTTCTAGAATGAGGTAGGGAAAAGGAACAGGAGCAACAGACCCTCCCTCACTGACCCCTACAAACAGCCACGGAGGGGAACAGGGGATCAACAGGGAGGGCACCTCTTTCCTCCAGAGCACGGCAGAAGCCAAAGGGATGTGGAGGGCAGCCTGCAGGCCCTAGGAAGGGAAGTGGGGGGCAGCAGGGATGAGCCCTCTATGGGGCAGGAGGAAGGAGGCTAGGCTGACCAGAGAGCAAGTGTCAAAAATCGGGATAGGAGATGCCTATGTGAAAAAAAGACCCCAAAATCGGGACTGTCCCTATAAAATCAGAACATCTGGTCACCCTAAAGGAGGCAGCGGGGCGGTCTGCTGGCTTCCCTGGAGGCTGGTAGAAGCAGTGGCTGGAAATAGGAGATCCTCTCGTGGGCACATCCCAACTGCAACTCAGCTCCCTTCCTGCAGCAGTTAGAGGCTCGATTTCATGAAATCCACTTGCGTCAGTGGAGCTGCCGGGCTTCCACCAGTACTGGGTGGTTCCCTTCCTCTCCTTGAATGGTGTGATTTGCTTCCATTGGTGCAGATTGTCCCCGCTGCCCATCCACTCTCATCTCCCCAGGTCTCTGCACCGTTTGGTTCCCTCCTCTTGTACGGTTCCTCCCCATGCCAGTCTGGGCTTCAGCAGCAAATCTGATCATGTTTGAATTCTTGCCCATGAAACATCTGACCAAGCCAGAGGCGAAGCAGCTACTCAGGGAGCCAAGGGCTGCTTGGATGGGCATGAAAGGCTGGAAAACCCTCCCAGAGCCCAGCGCTGGGCTACAGCCAACCACAAGCACCATACTTTGGAGCATGATAGATGCTTCTCCCTTGAGACAGATGCAGGTCTGGGGAGCACAAACAGCCTCACTGCCCAGTCCCACAGGTTCACACTCACTAACCAAAAGTTGGATTATAATTTTTCAGCGCATGTTTAATTTAAACCACTTTCAATCAGGAACTATTTTTCTTGGAGTAATCATATGAAAATAAGAACAGCCATACTGGGTCAGACCAAAGGTCCATCTAGCCCAGTGTCCTGTCTTCCAACAGTGGCCAATGTCAGGTGCCCCAGAGGGAATGAACAGAACAGGGAATCATCAAGTGATCCATCCTCTGTTGCCCAATCCCAGCTTCTGGCAAACAGAGGCTAGGGACACCATCCCTGCCCATCCTGGCTAATAGCCATTGATGGACCTATCCTCCATGAACTTATTCAGTTTGTTTTTTAAGCCTGTTATAGTCTTGGCCTTCACAACATCCTCTGGCAAGGAGTTCCACAGGTTGACTGTGCATTGTGTGAAGAAATACTTCCTTTTGTTTGTTTTAAACCTGCTGCCTATTAATTTCATTTGGTGACCCCTAGTTTTTGTGTTTTGAGAAGGAGTACATAACACTTCCATATTTACTTTCTCCACACCAATCATGATTTTATAGACCTCAATCATATATCCCTTAGTCGTCTCTTTTCCAAACTGAAAAGTCCCAATTCTATTTCTCTCTCCTCACACGGCAGCCGTTCCATATCCCTAATAATTTTTGTTGCCCTTTTCTGAACCTTTTCCAATTCCAATATATCTTGTTTGAGACAGGGCGACCACATCTGCACGCAGTATTCAAGGTGCGGGCGTACCATGGATTTATATAGAGGCATTATGATATTTTCTGTCTGATTATCTATCCCCTTCTTAATGATGCCCAACATTCTGTTCACCTTTTTGACTGCTATTTTGACTGCACATTGAGTAGATGTTTTCGGAGAACTATCCACAGTGACTCCAAGATCTCTTTCTTGAGTGGTAGCAGCTAATTTAGACCCCATCATTTAATATGTATGGTTGGGATTATATTTTCCAATGTGCATTACTTTGCATTTATCAACATTGAATTTCAGCTGCCATTTTGTTGCCCAGTCACCCAGTTTTGAGAGATCCTTTTGTAGCTCTTTGCAGTCTGCCTGAGACTTAACTATCTTGAGTGGTTTTGTATCATCTGCAAATTTTGCCACCTCACTGTTTACCCCTTTTTCCAGATCATTTATGAGGATGTTGAACAGCACTGATATGATATGTTCTGATCAGCAGTAAGACACCCAGTAAAGAACACCTTTCTTCTGATTCTACCCACACCTCCAATAATATCGACATGGTGCTGTTTTGTAATCCCAGCAAGACAAGACAGGACATGGCATGCCATGTCAACTTGCTGCCTTCTGCCTCGCACTTGATATCACGCTGAAGGCCTGGAAGGTTTTCAGACTGACACACCCTTGTGAGGTTTGGTTATTTAATTCTTGCCTCTGTTTGCTTCAAGTTTCATCACTCGACCCGATGAGAAAGCAGAGACGCCCAAGCTTGAGTCACACGGGGCTCCAAATTAGCAAGATTTATGTGCCTAAGAAGAGTGGGTGCTGGAAAAATGACATTACCTTTGAATGACATCTGACTGGACACCACAGAGCATGCAAAACCATGCCCTTCTTGGTCATTACATTGATTGCTTCAGGGAAAAAGTTGACTGTGAAACCCTTAACAAACATCACATCCACCACAATCTCTCCACTGCCGAGAGGACAGCTGTACAGTCCCGGAAATCTAAGGACCAGATAGCCATCAAATCAGCAGACAAAGGGGGCGCCACTGTAATCCTCAGTTGTGATGACTACGTTAATGAGGCCAACCGACAACCCTCCAACACCACCGACTATAAAGAACTCAGAGACGACTCCATACCAGAATTTACCCAGAAAAAGAAGTTGGTCCCATGAAAGATATTACCTCACCCACCTTATCTCTTTAATCGCCTTTAGGTGACAAGCATATTTTCCAAGTGAGCTAATGGCTCTATGTGGAAAATCATCAGAAACATGGATATTCAGTGGGAGAGAGAAATAGGCGATGATGGAGAACAGCAAGTTAGATGGTCATTTGCAAAAGAATAGGGCATGAAAATTTGCCAGAGCATTTTTGGGCTGTATGTGCATTGGCATCTGGAGAAACTACTGCTGATATCATGATTCCATCTCAGAAAGATAGAGCAGAAACAGAAGGGTGAAGGGACAGGCCAAGAAAATTATTAGAGGCTTGTGATGACTGAGTAGCTGCTCCTCAGCTGGCGTAAACTGGCATAGCTCCACTGACTTTACTGAAGTTATGACAATTTACACCTATTGAGGATCTGGCCCTTGGGCCTTGCAGTTCATTGAGAAGGGCTGATATGATAGAGTTATACAAAAGAATACCTAAGACATAGAAGGTCAGTGAAGAACTTCTATGTACCGTCTGGCATACTCAGAGCTGGCGAATATTTTGCCAATAAAAATGTGTTTTGTCTAAATTTGGTCCTTTTTTCTGCAAACACATTTCATTTTTTTGAAATTTGCAAACAAAAGTGTATCCATTCACTGTTCTCCAGAAGTGTTTTCTTTTGATTTCAAATTGTTGGCACTCAGTTTTGATTGGTCAGTTCGGTCACATGGCAGGATTTTTCTTTCTTTAATCAACACAATTTAGTCTTCAAAAGTTGAAAGAGAAACACGTAGTGTTTGGAAATGTCTGATTGTGAAAGCAAGGTTTTTCATTAAAAACAAAAGTCACTGAAAAGTCAGAAAATGCAAAAAACAGATTGTCAGATACCCAATGGGAAAACACATGCTTTCAAATTGTCCACATTTCTTTAAAAAAAAATCTATATTTTCTACTTAATTCCTTCACTCCTTGCATTTCCCTCAATGGCTGTGAGCATGCTGACACAAGAATGGTTTGAAGAAAATGTAACAAAAGAATGAAACCCTAAACTCCCCGCCTAATTAAAAACAAATTCTCATGGGCCTTCCCTAGTCTGAGATCCAAACCTTTCATGTTGTAGGACATAAGCCAAACACTAACTGAAGGGATCAGGCAGAAACTTCCCTTTGGGGGAGGTTATTTTTGTCTGCTATAGGTTTATTTGCCCCTTCCTCTGAAGCAGTGAGCAGTGACCACTGTTGGACCCAGGAGGATGTTGGCTACACCACTGGGTAGAGTCAGTCTGGCAATTCACATGCTCCTTTGTAAAACAGGAAAATCAGGGAGGGGAAATTCCAGCTGGATTCTTAACATGACCAGACTCCTTCCCACACACCCACACTCATCAGCCTTGTGTTGTGCTCCATGTGACATCCCAAACCCTAAAATTACCATCGCCATAGTAACCTAAAACAAACACCACCGAGCTATAAAACCTGTCCTGGTGCTGGTGGTGCGGCTGCCCTTGTGCGAAGACTGTAGTGAAGATGAAGGCTTTTCTTTTCACCCTGCTGGCTGCAGTCCTGTGCGTGGAGCGAGGTGAGCTAATAATTCTTCTATGCTAGAGAAAGAATATGCAGATGAGAGAGAACCCAGTTTAGACATGGCAGGGACACAGGGAGATTTTACTGTATCGGTGGTAAAGATTCTACAGTTAATGCACTGACACGGCCTTATCTCTTGGGTTGGATCCCTCCTATATTCCAAGGCGTTCCGTCCACCCCCCCCCCCCGCTTGCAGGACTGAGCCATTACACAGTAACTTATCCAATTTAATAAACCAAAAAATAAATGCATGCAATGATTAAGCAGTGGAAGATGAGTAATTTACACAATCAGCTATAACTTCTAGCTGCCTGGCTAAAGGTTGGATGCTTTCCAGGGGACTGTTGTTCTGCACCACTTGCTCTGATCTCATCTGCTTTTAAAAGCTAAAGCCCTGACCCTGCAAACACGTGCACATGTGAGACGCTGTATGCGTGTGAGTCAACCCATTGCAATCATCAGGACTATTTACACCCTAAGGTTACTCCATGTAGTTCTCCTGCTGATAATCGCTCACCGTAATTGATCACTCTCATTCTAGTGTGTATGGCAACACCCACTTTTTCCTGTTCTCTGTGTATATCTATCTTCCCACTGTATTTTCCACTGCATGCCTCCGACGAAGTGGGTTTTAGCCCACGAAAGCTTACGCTCAAATAAATTTGTTAGTCTCTAAGGTGCCACGAGTCCTCAACATAGTGTATTTGCAGAATGGGAACCAAGGCTGGGCTGAGTCTGCTCAATGCCTGGATAGGGGGAAAAGGGGCCTCTGCAACATGTTTGTATGTTATAGCCCATCTGGAGCAACCTGTGAAGAAGATGCTCTGGCGGCTGCTAACCCAAGAGTGTTGCAATTTAAAGGTTTCAGAGGAACAGCCGTGTTAGTCTGTATTCGCAAAAAGAAAAGGAGTACTTGTGGCACCTTAGAGACTAACCAATTTATTTGAGCATGAGCTTTCGTGAAGTGAGCTGTAGCTCACGAAAGCTCATGCTCAAATAAATTGGTTAGTCTCTAAGGTGCCACAAGTACTCCTTTTCTTTTTGCAATTTAAAGGGACGTCATCAACGAAAATGGTCTGACCTGTTTCTACAGCTGTTATCGGTGACCCCTGGGGTTACTGTAGCTGCGATTAGACAGAAAAAAAACTGTCCCTGTGTTTTTCAGTTTGTTTACTTTGCACCTTTGACAGCACTTTATGTAGTGCCAGATTCACTCTTTCACTACTGGGGTCAGCCAGTTTGCCCTGTTCTATTGTGAGTCTTTCACATCTACGGGGAGAGAAAACATGTTAAAAGGTAGCAAAATGTCATTATAAACCCACAGATTTTGATAGACTGGATTCAGGTACAGGGATAGGACCAGAAATGAATTTTAACTCCCTTTTAAAAATGGACTCTGGGTTCGTCTTCAGAGAAAGCTGCATTGGTTTAATTAAAGGTGTGAATTTCAACCAATTTATTTAAACTGCTGCAAACCCCTATATGGCTGCCTTCATTTTGGTATAAGAAAGACTTATATTTCAATGCAGCTTAGGTTGATTAGGAACAGGTTTAAACTACCCTGAAATAAGCCCCTCTTAAACCAAAATAAAAGCATCCACTCAGGGGTTTGCAACTGGCTTAAATAATTCAGTTGCAAACCCCTGAGCAGGGGGTTGGACTAGAAGACCTCCAGAGGTCCCTTCCAACCCTGATATTCTATGATTCTATGACTCAATTTCAAACCAATTTAAGTTAAACTGGTGCAGCTTTCTCATGTAGACAAGCCGCTAAGGTTCAGGTTAATGATGCCCCTTAAACTAACTTACTAAGCACATCATGTGTATTGTCTCAGGTATAGTAGATGATCCTCTATGGGTCACACAGATGTGTCACTACAAATGCCTCTACTCGCACATGGTAGCAAATGTTTAGAAAACGTCTTACCATTCTTGCCCCCAGCCCTTCACCTGATGAGATGAGAAAGCAGAACAGGCTAAGACAAACAGTCCCTCAAGTTGCTCTCAGTCAGCTGAGGTTCTGGCCCAGACATCAGGAGCAGTTCCAGTCTCTTGGGAACCTCAGTGGGAGGCAGCCAGGTGGTGTCTCTCAAGTAGGAATTCACTTGCCAGCAAACAGGTTGCTCTTAACCAAGCCCCAGTGTCTATTTCAGCAGATTCCTGGCCAGGCTGTGAGTTGAATGTGTTGTTACCAGGGCTTAAATTCAGCCAGAGCTGTCCGGAGCAGAGATCCAGTAAATATTTTCAAATATTGACTCCAGCCTGATGCTGTTGCGATTCTCAACCAGAGGTCTGCAGCCCTCTGGTGGTCCGTGAGACAGTTTCAGGGGATCGACGGGGCCCTGTGGCTGAAGCCCGGAGCCCCAAGCTCCAGCACTCCCCACAGAGCAGAAGCCCCGAGCCCCAGCATGCTTTGTGGGGAATGGGGTGGGGGCATGATGGGCTCCGGAAAATACTCTATGGCAGCATTTTTCAAACTGGGGTCCATGGACCCCTGGGGGTCCACAAGGTTACTCCAGGGGCCCCGTTGGCCCCACTGATCAACTCCTCCCCCTCCCTCCCAGTGCCTCCTGCATGCTGGGCAACAGCTGTTCAGCAGCATGCAGGAGGCACTGGGAGGGAGGGGGAGGAGCGGGTTGGGGACGCGCTTAGGGGAGGGGGTGGAAAGAAGCGGGGAAGAGGAGGGACAGGGGCGGAGTGGGGATGGGAAGAGATGGGGCAGGTTGGGGCCTTGGGGGAAAGGGTAGAGTGGGGGCAGGGTCTGGGGTTGAGCGGGGAGTTTGGGGGTCCCCAAAATTTTTTAAATCAAAATGGGAGTCTTTGGGTTGCTAAAGTTTGAGAACCGCTGCTCTATGAGAATTTTAAGCCCTGGTTGTTACCCTTGCTTGGCCACACACACTGCAAATGCCCTTTGACCTCACAGTAAGTCTCCCTTAATCCTTTTAATGGGATTGTTGCAAGACTGCCTTGTTCCAGACAGCACCAGGAATATTCCTTTTATCCTCTAGCATAGGGGTGGGCAAACTTTTTGGCCCGAGGGCCATATCTGGGTGGGGAAATTGCATGCAGGGTCATGAACGTAGGGTTGGGGCAGGGGTTTGGGGTGCGGGAGGGAGTGCGGGGTGTGGGAGGGGGTGCAGTGTGCAGGAAGGGGCTCAGGGCAAGGGGTTGGGTACCTCCCCCAAAGTTCCCATTGGCCATGGTGAGGGCAGCGTGCGGAGCCCTCTGCCTCCCCTCCTCCCCCAGGGCCCACAGGGAGCGGCGCGGGGCCCATGGCACGCAGGGGGTGGTGGGCCCGGGGGCTGGATCCAAAGCCCTGACGGGCTGGATCTGGCCCCCGGGCCATAGTTTGCCCACCCCTGCTCTAGTGACACCTCTCCCAAGGAACTCCCTTCAGTTTGACTCTCTAATCACACATCTAATTTTCTGGGCTATATTAAGAGTCATTCATGTCCATACAATGCTTTGCAGATGCACTGCCCTATACAATGCTAACCGTGATGCTCTCACAGGAGGAGAAAGCTAATTAGCTTTCCCCAAGGAAAGACAATTAATAATCGGCAAGGAGCTGGGAAATAAGGGCCTCACTGAGCTCTGCTTTCTACAGACTTGGGAGCTGCACTTGGGAGGTCAGTCATTCCTGGCAGAGAAAGAGAGATTGTTGTGGGATGGAGGCAGAGATGGGTCTGAAAAGAGGGTCATCTGAGATGCAGAGTTAGATCATTGGCTTGCGTGAGTCAAGGACGTAGATGGAGAAGGCAGGGTGGGTAGAAACATGGTAAGTAATTGCGGCATATATTTGCAAATTTTCCTTCTGGTTGAAATTGTTCCTAGAATTCCCTGACCAGACAAATTAAAACCAAAATTTCTCGTGCATTTAATTTCAAATAGAAAATGTTTGCTCTATTTTGGTCCCTCTCCCCCCCTCCTCCTTCCCCCACCTTTTTTCTTTCCCTTTTCCAAAAATGGAAACATTTTGGATCCTCTCCTCTGAAGAGGACGTTTCCCGCAAGCGGCTAAGCTGGGTTGTGTGCTCCTTTTTCAGCGGCCTCCTTGTGGTGCTACACATGTAGTGACGAGCCCTCCAACTGGAATTGTGTTACAGCGACTAAGTGTGCAGACACTGACAAATACTGTCTCACAATATACGCAACTGGAGGGATCGGTGAGTACCCGGAATTACCTCAATGCGGTTTTCCCTCAGTCTCTGCTCACCACGGTGTCTGAGTGACAGGTTATCAGTTTATTTAGGATGCAGGTCACTCTGTCTCACCCCCATGCCAGCGAGCTGGATTCTTTCGTCCTGCTTCTGAAAGGATGAATAATCACTCAGGAGTGATGAGCATAGCACATGGCCTGGGCCTTAGGAAACTGTAAATGATCCAAGAAGCTAATTTCTCACGTACGTGCACTCAGGGGAGGGACCCATTTGGAGAACAGGCAAAACTCCCATCCCCTTATCTTGGTGCTCAAGAGAAAGAAGTGACTGTATGGTGCATGCACAAAAACCTTGAGGGCTGGTGTCCCTTTAATCCGACTGGGACGTTGCCAACGAATCCTTGCTCCCTGGTCTGCTACAGGTGCTGTGCCTTGTCTCAGCTACAGGTCAAACCTATGGGGGTGAAGCACATGACAGATCAGCTCTACTGACCAGCTCTTCCCTGCACGTGTATCCACACAACAGGCCTCAAACTCCTGCTCCCCCCGCATGCAGTGGGCTCAGTTTGAATCCCGGGAAGGAGTCTCTGCCTTGGGGGTGGCCCTTCTTTTGGCTGTTCCGCAGCCATAGTCAGGGCTCTGGAGAGGATGTTCCCAGGCAGGTCTGTGACTGCTAGCCAGAGACGGGCGATTGCTGTGCTGACTGTCCCCAGGGCACGGAAGAGCAACAATGAGCGCGAGGTCGGGCGCTTCCTAGCAGATAAACACTGGTTGGGTTAAAAGCTGGAGGCAAAACTACCAATCATGCCCTCTCCATTGGCGCTTGTTGCTTAGCTACTTTAAGACCATTCTCTCCTCTGCTGGAACTCTGGGGGGGCTCTTTGATAACAATTCTCTTCTCTGGTTTTCTTTCCCCCTTCAGGTGATAAAAAGGGGCATCGCATCACCAAGAAATGCTCCCCGGTGTGTCCCCAAACAAACCTGAACCTCGGGGTAGCCGCCATCTCTACCTCCTGCTGTGAGCATTCCTTGTGCAACATCAGCGGGGCCAGCAGCGTGAAAACCAGCTACACAGTGATGGCCACGGGCATCCTGGCCAGTCTCATCTACGTCCTCAGAACAGGACTGTGATGGGGCCAGAAAAAAAAAGAGGACTTGCCATCCCAAAGAACCAACTTGGGCTTCCTCAGAGAGATACCAAAAGCCTTCTGTGCAAAGTTGCCATCCGAGTTATCACTGCCCTGTCTCTTCTGTGTCACCTCAGATCCCCTCAGCATAGGGTAACCAGATGTCCCGTTTTTATACGGACAGTCCCGTTTTTTGGGACTTTTTCTTATATAGGCACCTATTACCCCCCACCCCCTATCCTGTTTTTTCACAGTTGCTATCTGGTCACCCTACCTCAGCAAGTAGTTTCTGTCTAATTTTCTACAGTGCTGTACCCTGGGGATAAGAGCACTGCCCTCCCTCACCAGGGGGTTGTGAGGATAAGTGCATTAAAGAGGTTACGCTGATGGAGGCTAGATACACACTGAAGATTTTATCTATCTATCTATAGTTAGTAGCTCCGCCTCCACCTTTTGTTTAGCAGAGCCAGAGTCACCTCCCACACACTTGGTGTTGATGACTTGGGATGCTCAGCAGAATGGTGCTGCCTGCCGGCTCAGGGGAAAGGCACCATATAGCGCAAAGTACTAACACTTGTTCCACCCTCTGTCACAGGCCCTGTGTCATTTTCCTCCTCATTCCCCCAGCACTGTCTCTTTTCTGCCTCTCCTCACACTCACACCACGGACAGCTCGAGAGCCTTCTCCTCCGCAGCTCACTCACCAGAGCAGCCTCTCTGTGTCTTTGAACAGACCTTTACTCCCACGTCTGTCCCCTTACTACCTTTCTAATATTAGCCCCAATGAATGAATGAGTGAATGAATGCATGCTTGGCTGTATTCACCTACACTTTGTTCCCATTTCTTGTTCCTGTAATTTTTCCCATATAAGCATTTACTGTCTTGTATTGCTTCACCCTGTGAAAGCCCATTTCGATACATTTTGTAGGACAAATGCTGGACAAAATAAAGTGTTTTTTTATTCTACCGTGGAAGCATCAGTTGTGTTAACTCTGGGATAGCTGGAGAAAACAGCCCTGCCCGGTTGGGAGAAAAAAGATCCATGGTCTAAGTCTGTGCATGACATTTCGGCTTGGAAGAATTCGATTTTTATTGAGCAATGTGGGTAAACATCTATTGCACTGTCCATACACAAACCGACAAAAATGATTTCCATTGATAATAATAGACATTTACAGACAGGCAAAGCAAAACAAATGCTGCTTGAGAACTTAGTTTTTGAATTCGGGCTATTTAGGTCGTATATTTTGACAGGGGATGTTGACGATTTGTGTTCTAATGGTTATAAAGCTCTAATTTTTTTGAATCTCAGCATCTCCTGTCATTAAATAATTGTTCTCTGAACCCGTCCCATTACCTGACCCTCCCCCCATAATTCCCTGCAACTGTGAACATGTAAATAGATAAAAATCGGGGGGGAAATGCTTAAAAATAAACGTTGATATCATCCATCCAAATGATAAAAAACACAAATCCAGTGCCGCCCAGCCTAGTTAGAGTGCAACTTTTTTGAATTAGCTGAACAGCGACTTGTCTCAGAATCGGTGAGCCCCTGGGTGCCAGCTGAGGTGGCATCGCATAGCTATATTTTTAAAAACTGGTTTTTCTGACCGTTCAAAAGTGATGTCAGAAGGAACACAGCCTCCCAGGCTCTTCCCGAGCCATCCAAGAAGTAGAGTGGTGAGGCCTGAAGGAGTTCAGACTCCATAGGTTTGTCTCCAGTGCATTGGGAGATCTGATTGCCGCTTGATTCTAGGTAGCCGGACTAAAAACAGCAGAGAAGACGCAGCAGCACATAGGTACGTACCCACAGGCTCTGGGCAGGCTAGTACAATTTGTGCTGATGCCTGGGATAGCATATCTTCACTGCTATTTTTTAGCTTGGCTAGAGTAAATCTAGTGCAGGTCTGCCGAGCTGAGCGGCAATCACACGTTCGCTTGCAGCGAAGCCATGTCCTAAGAGTCACAGGTGGAAGTAGGCCGGGTGGCTTTGTGACTGAAGCACAGGCCTGGGAGTCTGCAGATCTAGGCGCTATTCCTGGCTCTGCCACAACCTCCCTCTGTGACCTCCGGCAAATCACTGCACCGCGCCGAGCCTCTGTTTCCCCATCTGCAAAATGGGGATATTGCTACTTCCCTACCTCACAAGGGGGCAGGGACGCCTAGTTCATCACTGTGTATAAAGGGAGTTCAGAGCCTCCAGTGGAAGTTGCTGAATAAACAGAAAGGCTCATTTTAAGGAGGAAGAAGGGCCTGTCCTTGCACTCAAAGGACAAATAGTCCGGAGTGCTTGAGTGCACCTTGTAGGCTGCCCTGTGTTTTCAGTGGCAATGGAATTACCCACAGGGCCCATCCCTGGCAGCAGAAGTTTGCTCCAGAGCTTTAAGCTTCCATTAAAAATAATTAACATTCTAGGCTACATTGTGGTGGAGAAGGTCTTGAAAGCATGAACTGAGTGAATGTGAATTGATGGAGGGAGGTCTGCCTGAGTCTGCAGACAGCCTGAAAAAACCTGCTTGTGGAGGATGTGAGCTTCAGGGTGTGGACTCGGAAATGTAGGAATCACTGTGTAAATGTCAACACTGTTAACGCTTTCACTGCTGATGACTTTACCAGGAACATCCAGCTAATGTGCTTATCCACCCCCCACCCCACCAAGTGCCAGGTTCCCTGACAACTGCCTCCTACCTAGCTTCTTGCTGAGAGCTGACTCACTCGCCTCTCACTGGGGAAACCTCCCAAGGCGCTGCAGGGCCATGGCCCAGCTCCTATTACAGGGCCGGGTAGGAGGTAACCGGCCCCCAGTTCTATACAGCAGTGGATGGTGAACGCTCTCCTACTGCAGGGGATATATACACACACATACCGTTCAGGCCGCCTTTTTGCTTCATAAAAAAGTAAACAGGGCACAGTGCTGTTTTTCCTTTGCTGGTCTCTGTTACTTCCTCACGTTTCCCCAAATGCTTGTGCGCCCCTGAGGTGAGATCCTGTCCGAACTGGGTGTGTGGGAGGAGTTTGTGGCCAAATTCACCCCAACGAAGAAAATCTCCTGTGTGGATCGGGACGGAGGAGGGGGGACGCAGCAAGCGGACGGGAGATCGGGGTCTCTTGATTTCTTGAATGAGAAGTTTTCTTACTGGAAGCCTAGATCGGGTATTTGGAGGCAGTGCACAGGAGTTGGGCCTACAGAAGTCTCTGGGCCTTAATGAAGGAGGAGCTGTGGCCCACGAACAGAAGAAGGGGTCGAGTGCTTCCCATCATGGGTTCTACTCTTGGTGCTGCCCTTACTGGCTCTTCGAGTTCACAAACAGCAGCAGCAGCATGGGGGATGGGCAGAAGAAGCCATTACAACCCCCCCTTCCACTCCCAAAACACAGACCAGAAGACTTCCCCAAAAACAAGAGCAATGTGAGCAGCATTGTCAACCCCAAGCGCTGGAAACTCATGACTCAGTCCTATGAGATAATGAAAAGGGCTTAAAAATAATAATAAATGTTGGCAAGAAAACTGGGCAGAGAAACTGGATTAGCCTAAACCAAAAAGGCCACATTGATCTAATCCAAGAAATGTTGAATTACGTTTGTTCAGAACAGAAAGTGGAAATGGAAATTAATGAACCAAAAGAGCTGTGTCAGATATGAGGCCTAATTGGTGGACAAAATAGTGAGGGGGTGGTCTCTGCCTCCTATCACTCCCTTTCTGGGTCCATAAAGAAAGAGACTTTGGTGGGGAGGGGGGTGGGAATATGGAAGAGGAGATGGAGACTATTGAAGCCAGATTCACCATCATGGCTGCCATCCCCACCATCTCCTGGGCCTTCCTCAGCCTGATCCTGAGAGGTGTCCTGACCAGAATGGGCTAGAGAGAGGGACCAGGTGGCCTACGGGCAATACATCCAAAAATCCAGTTGATAAAGTTTCAGTTGATACATTTTAAACAGCTCTAGTGTCAAGGAGCACCTAGAGCAAGTGATGGGCACTTCTTTCTACTCACTGTGTCTACAATGAAACATCCATAAATAGCTTCCCCCTTTCTCTAACTCCTCCCATTTTCCCTATTTAAATCCCGTTTTTCTCCCTAATTAATCCCACACTCCTGGATGAACATATCTTCCAAATATTTGTACACTGGTATCATTCCCACCCCTTCCGTTTATAGATCCCCTAGTCTCTTTAACTAGCCTCATTAGTCTTTTCGATCTTTCTTCCTTGGTCAATCCCACTCCCCCCGATCATTTGTGTCCCTCTTTTCTGAATGCCTTCCAATTTATCTACATCGTTCTGGTGTTGGAAAAGTGAAGATAATATTAAGATCACAGAAACATACAGGAATTGCCAGATGAGTCCAGACGAATTTAACTGCCCGAAATCCAGCTAAGAATCATTTGCACACAGCAAAGTTGTCATCTCTAAACTCCCACAGTGTGCAGGAGAGAAAAGCTGTCTAATGGGTATTTTAAGTTTTAACACCTGAGCTGAGTCAGGCAATAAGACGCTTTTGCCGAAATGGCACCTGCTATTTCCGTAAGTGCCAATGGATGATGCTAACTGAATGAAATGTGAAATGCTCCATCATCATCAGAGTGTTGGCTGGTTTTGCAGGGCAACATATGGACTGCAGAATGGCAGTGGGTGGCGATTTGACCTTCTTTTTTGATTTCTTGCTCTGAATAGCAAGCAATAAAAGGAGAATTTAATTTGTTGTCAGTGTGGAGGCCCGAGGGCTTTGTCTTAGGTGATCCCAAATATACCGACACTGGGTGGAGGAATCTGCATTCATTGACATTGACTGTCCCTTTGCTACGTGCAGCCCTCACCCCTCATCTCCCCAGATCACTGTGTAGTTTGGTTCTTTCCACTCGTGTGTTTCTCCCCCACTCCAATCTTGCAGCAAATTTGAACACATGTATCCCCAAGAAATATCTGACCAAACAAGAGGCGAAACAGCCAAGAAAGCAGCAGAAGGCGGCTTGGATTGGAATTAATTAATAGGCAGCAGGTTTAAAACAAACAAAAGGAAGTATTTCTTCACACAAAACAAAGTCAACCTGTGGAACTCCTTGCCAGAGGATGCTGTGAAGGCCAAGACTTTAACAGGGTTTAAAAAAGAACTAGATAAGTTCATGGAGGATAGGTCCACCAATGGCTATTAGCCAGGATGGGCAGGGATGGTGTCCCTAGCCTCTGTTTGCCAGAAGCTGGGAATGGGTGACAGGTGATGGATCACTTGATGATTCCCTGTTCTGTTCATTCCCTCTGGGGCACCTGGCATTGGCCCCTGTTGGCAGACAGGACACTGGGCTAGATGGATCTTTGGTCTGACCCAGTATGAATGTTCTTATTTTCTTATGGATGGGCATGAAAGGCTGGAAAACCCTCCCAGAGCCCAGCGCTGGGCCACAGCCAACCACAAGCATCATTCTTTGGAGTGTGATAGATGCTTCTCCCTTGAGACAGATGTGGGTCTGAGGAGCACAAGCAGCTTCGCTGCCATGTCCCCAAAAGCCACTGGTTCACACTCACCAACCAAAAGTACAATTATTATTTTTCAGCGAATATTTAGTTAAATTTAAATAGCTTTCCATTGGGAACTATTTTTCTTGGTGTAATATGTTTCTGATCATCAGGAAAATACCCAATAAAGACTCTTTTTTTTTTTTTTTGGATCCCCACCCCCAATAATATTGACATGGGGCTGTTTTATAATCCCAACAAAACAAGACAGGACATGGCATGCTGGGTCAGAGGTCCTGCTACCTTCTGCCTCGTGCCTGATACCACCCTGAAAGCCTGGAAAGTTTCCCAACACACATACTCTTTTGAGGTTTGGTTGTTTAATTGGTGCCTATCCTTGCTCCAAGTTTCACAGTCGGAGCTGTTGGGAAACAAGAGATGTCCATGCCTGAGTCACACAGGGCCCAAATTTGGCATTATTAATTAATGTAAGAGTGTGTGCTGGAAAAAGGGC